AATTCTATTTTAAGAACCCCTTAAATTTCCACCAGATTAAACCAGGTGATGTAATCTTTCGACAACTTTAGGTTGAATGTTAAGAAATCTCTAATTACTTACTAGGCAGTAAAAAAAGTAAAACAATAATAATAAAAAAAATGTATATATACATAAAAAAAAATATATATATATATATATAGACGTGTATATGTATGTTTGGGAAAGTAGTTACTTAAATGTGGAAAATCAGAATAATTTTTTAAATATTATTATTCTTTATGTAACCATCATACATGACACGTCTGTCAATTTTAGTGAGAGAAAATTAAGCTGTGGGGGTTCTTCTGTGTCTTTCTGGATTTAAGCTGAGATGGAAAAAACAAACAAACAAAAAAACCAACCAAAAGAAACAAACAAAAAAACCAACCAAAAGAAACAAACAAAAAAAAAACCAATAAAACAAAACCAAGCAATAGCCAAGCAAAACCACACAACCAGTATATTATATACATATTGTTCTGTGATAATTCCTGGTGCCTTCTTCTGGCATCTGCTTGATTACACCAGCATTACATTTGAACCATGCAATTAAAAGGAGATATGTGTTTATTAGAGCAGTTCATGTGATTTTACTTCCCTTTATATCTGCCTAGAGGAACCACTCAGTTCATTTCAGCTGCCTTAGTTATACTGCCACTAATACAAGTCTCTGCATTCTGTATCTATTCACAATGATTTAAGGTGCTAAGATTTTGAACTACCTTGTTGCTTAACTATGAATGTTTTTTTGACCCAATGACTTAGGAGTTCTGTCTGTGAGAATGTAGCTGTAATAATAGATGCTGCTTACACTGGGGTGAGGAGGAAAGGAGAAATTGTCCCTGCAGAGATGCCTTGCTATTTTAAGTATGTCCATTCAAGGTACAGCTGATCATGTAGGTCAGATTGAATCCATGGGATGTTTTTTTTTTGTTTTTTTTTTTTCTTTTTTTTTGGTCTTGCTAGTCTTTTACACTGATAAGAAGAAAAACTGGTTGTTGAATGTCACTGGGACTTGGCCACAGCTTTGCAGCTGTGTCCAGAAAGGAAGAGGGAATTCAAGACAGTTGCTCAAAACTCTTGTTTTCGCATGTTCTGTGAAGAGGTGCTGTTAGGAAGAAAACTGGAAGAAATGCTAACAAAATCAGTAAGGAAGAAAGTATAATAATGCCTGATAGCTATATAATGGGGAAAAGGTAGTTGGCGCAAAGAAAGATAAACTGAGCATGTGCTGTTTGTGCATTCCTTCAAGCTGTTGCAGAACATTTTAAGCACCAATGGAGATTAGACATTTAATTTTTTTCTTACAAAGTTAATAGAACTAAACAGGAAGAAAGATGACTATAAGCAACTCTTCCTAAAGGTAATAAATAGAAAGCCTCATAGAAAGTTTTAGAGAGCGATAATGGAAGCTCTGACTTCTGATGCACTGCCAGGCTTTTAAAAGGGCTGCGAGCTCAACTGTTCTTGTTGAGTGTTAGTGCTTAATGTGCTAGGACTGCCTGCACTTATGGAGAAGGGTGCTTGAGTCATTGAAGCAGAATGTGGGAGGTCGGAGTTGCACTTTCTCCATTGTGTGCCTCAGCCTTGGTTTGATTCAAAACACTCTGGGTTGCAGGAGGTGCCCATGTCTGACCCCAGGGGAAATTGCTTGTTCAGAATAATGTTTACTTCATTTTGACACTTTCAGTTCTGGAACGTGTGCATCTACGTGTTCTTGTCTGTAACAAATGTCAAATAGAAACCTTGCGTTCTCATTTTTTCTCACTTAGATATCTTCCCCAGCCCTGTATGCAGATCCAGTGTCTAAAGGAGAGTATACTAAAATACTCTTAGAGACCTACGTGCTGAGCATTTTACTTTCCTTTGGAAGGAAGGTGGAGTTGTATGCTATGGTAAATGGTAAAAATATGTCCTTGCAAAAGACCCCAAATTGTGCAAATTCTTGTACACAGTAGCCTAGTTCTTTTGGTGTTGTGCGAGGGATCGTAATTAGCTTAGATATAGGCAGAACACACATCTTAAAGACAAAACAGTCAGAAGGTTTCCTGGCTTTATTTAACTGGATTTTTGTACTGTCACCAAACTTGCAATTAAATTTGCAAATGTTAGTGCATGCAATGCTATCTTAAGTGGAGCAGGTGAATATTGAACTTGCTGTTATATCATCATGCATAGTAGGACTGAGTAGTTCAAATTTGCTTAAAAGCGTAAGTTTTTCTCCTTATCTAAGTAATATTGTTCTAAAGGTTATATTTGAGTTGACTTCAAGAAATTATTTCAGCTTGTGTCATTTGTTATTTGAGATTGGGAAATGGGGGAAGGTGAAGCGTTTTGTTTCGCTATAGATAGAAGTCTGCAGTGTACTGATTAAAATTAATTCTCAGTAATGGTAGCTAAGGCAGATAAGGGGAAAGAAGTGAAGATTTATGATTATTTTTGTTTCTCAGGTTGGTGAAAATACATCTTTAAGTTGTTTGAATGTTGAATATTCAAGTGTGATTATTTTCAGTTTTATCCTGTAGCAGGACGGTGCATTATGTAACATTCTGGAATATTTATTGGGAGAATTAGGGGGATTTGTATTTGAAGTTTATACAATTCTGAAGCAAATCTCAGGTTAGTACTGAAGGAACTAGACTGCACAGAGCCTATTAACACTCTTGGGAAATTGTGGTTTGTTTCTTAAAGTTCAAGTTAATTCAAATTCAAATTAACTGCTAAGAAATGCAATTTACTTGAGGTGAGCATTATAGCTAATAACAGAATGTGAAAAAGAATTCTGCCCATCATTATTTTGTATTTAAGAGAAAGCGTTTGAACCCATATTAGTTTAGTGGAAGCTTGTTAAGAAGGTGATTCTCCTGTTCTGTTGTTGATGGCTGAAAGAAGAGTGTCTTTTAAACATATCTGTAACAGTACCACAGCTGACTTGGATGATTCTGATCTTTTCTTTGAAACAAAAAGAAAGTACAACACAAATTCATCTGTGTAGCACTATTCTTGCTTTCACTTGTGAATTGTATCACCTCTCAGTTATTTCAGGCACAAAATTCCATTAGGCTTCAGTGGATTACAGCAAATCATTTGATTTGTGGGAGAAGAAAAAGAAACAAATCCATTCTTATCTTAACCTAAGTGAATTTAGCCTTTGTTCTATGGAAATTGTAGCTCTCAGTCAGTCCCCAGTAACGCAGTTGTGATTTCACCCTCTCAGTCATGCAACCAGCCATTTGTTCACAACTATTTTAGTATCTCTATCTGACAGAGAGATAACATCTCTTTTTCTTTCTAAAAATTACAGAGAACCAATGAGAATGCACAGAATATTTTCCCTTTTGTCAGTTTTTTGACACCTGGGAATGTATCCTGTATGATTGCTTCTAATCTGTTTTTCTGCTCTTTGATGATTTTAGCATTGCTTCACGCTGTTCCTAAGCAGGACTCCTGGAACGCTGGTGAAAGAAGCTTGTTCTGTGAATATAAGTGGATTGTTTATATTGAAGCCATTATTCTAGTTATGGTTTTGTTACTTGTATGATGTGGCAGTTTGTCCGGTCTTGTACCAGCATGTAATTCTACAGTACTGTGCTTAAAAAAAATAAAACCTAGTGTAGTTTTAGAGACACAGTAACTATTTAAGGCTGTAGCAATTTTTCTGCACAAGATGTTGTAGCTCTTCACTTATAAGGACATTTTTTGATATAAAGAATTGATCTTCACCTTTATTTCTGGATTACATGTGATATAAGCTATCAAAGCCAAGGTCCTCCTTAAAGCAAGTGTCTGATGATGAGCTATAAGGGCATTTTGGTTTATGGATATATAATGACTTACAAAAAGGTGACTTGCCTTTAAAATTGTTTTATACTGAATGAAGTTACTTTAAGCTGTGCAGCAGTGCTGACGAACTTGTATTTAACTGCTCTGGTTACAGAGAATGCACTTATTGTTGGGACAGCAAAATTAAGTTTTATGGCAGCAGTGCATTTTGGTTTGTAGAAGGAGAGATGAAGTGAAGGAGAGATGAAGTGAAGGCGAGAGAATGAGAGGAGCTGTCAGTAGGAGTGTTTGAGGCACACAGTGCCTCAGATTCTGCTCAGATTCTTCAGCTACTCTAGGTTCTCTTCTTGCCTATTGTGCTCTCCTTCCACTATGAAGGAGACTTTTCTGTCTGTGAAGCAATGGTTTTTCTAGATGAACCACAAGCTGTGGAAGAAGAGCTTACTTGATGCAGGGGAGAGTTTTCCATGGTGGTTAAGTGCTTTGGCAAATGCTTGAATCTTACGTTGACTCTCTCATCAGTTTTCCCTTCAATCCCAGTGTGTTGTAAGTATTTGGGGAGGTAGATTGACTGCCAGCAGTCTATTTAATTTTTGCTTGTGTATTTCAATAAAATGGTTTTCATGAAGGAAATGGATTTGTTTAATTATTCCATATTACTTGTGTTCAGACCTCGAAGGAAGTTGGTTAAAATAGAAATTATTACATAGATAAGCCTGTCTGTGCTTTTGTTCTGCAATATTTGTTATGTTGGCTTTGTTCAATTTCACGCAACAAACATCAGACACTTCACTCAGTTATCATCTGCATCACTGCAACACTTGGGTAGAGATGCTGTGACTAAATTAGTAGTTCTGCTCCCCCACGGTATCAGGAAGCTGCTTGGTACTGGCTTCCAGAACAGGAGGGACAACAGCAGTATTTGGCACCAGCATCACTGCTTGACCCCTATAGGAAGCTCTGCTAGGTAGTTTGAATACATTTCAGGTGTTACATGTATTTCAGCAATGTGGTTGCACCTCATCTAAAATTTTGATGGGGTCATCAAACCATCCTTAAATCAAACCTTAACCAGGTTGATTTGTCTTTCTGGAGTTGAATTCTGTGGTTGTAGTTCATTGTGTTTGTGACTATCTAAATACTGAGCTAAATGCTATTGAGTTGTAATGGCTTTGCTGTCTGTTTAAATATGACAGGTAGAGGATGATGATGATACTGAATCACGAGAGGAGGAAGAGGAAGTGAAAAACTACTCAAGAAGGAAGATTGTTTCAAACTGGAACCGCTATGAGGATGCAGAAAAAGGGGGACAGGGAGAATGTGGAGAATCACAGAGAGGAACAGACTTCAGTGTTTTACTTAGTTCAGCAGGTAAGCGTTTCGTACTCCATATAAAATTCTTTAGTTTTGCATCTTGAAATATTGCTGTTTTTCTGGCTCTCCTCCCTTGATGATGAAAAAGGAGCTTAGAATACTGGGTAAATCTGCCACTGATCTATTCAGAAGTCTCCATGGGCTACAATGAGTCAAGTACACAGGGAGTAAAAGAGTGCTGCTGTATTTATAGCCTTGTTGTGAAACTGTATGGGTCTGAGCACATGCAGAATGCAGTTATTTTGAGCTTCTTCTTGCTCACAGTGAATTCTTAGTGATCTCAGCCATTAGGTTGTTTTCCAGAAAACAAAAAAGGCTACCACAGAGACTAAAAACAACAGAGCAGTCAAACAGCTGTTTGCTGTTGTATGTTTTGACAAGGATTTGTTATCAGCGCTCTACAGATGTGTGCTTGAATAGCAAGTATTAATCTCTTTGTTTAAAAAAAAAGATCAATTGTTTTCTGCTTTTTAAAGGAGATAATAGACTAAAGAGGTGAAGGTACAGGCTGTACTGGATCATATTTATTTATTTTTAGCAATACATGTGTAGCACATGTACAATTTTGGGCAATTGCACAAAATGCAGTTTCCTAAAATTATTTTAGAAACCCTTTATGTGTTATTGTGTTAGAAGACTGTTCAGCAAAAAGCTACAGAGAGCGTTTGACCTTTTTTGTTTGCTTTTTCTTTCTTCTTTTTCTTGGTACAACTTAGACCTGAGAGATTTCAGAGTTTCCACATACTTGGATTTTTCATTCACAGGTTACAGGGAAAAATTAATACCTCCCTGCATTAAATAAATAAGGTTCAGAGGTTTCCTTCTGTGTGTCAGAATCAATTTCTGAAGCTCAATTTTTGCATGAGTGTTGCAGAACTGGGCCTAAATCACTGGTTTTAATAGTACGATTGTGGCATGTATATTGCTCTCTCTGGATGGCATGTTGCACATTAAGCAGAGTGAGAGTCAAGAGATCTGGTATGGACCTCTGTGTTGGATGAGTAAGATAGCCTTGAGAGGAAAGATATTACAACTCAAAACTGTTAAGAGAGCTGCTGTGAGCTGCATAGCTGCGCGGTGCCATGCATGGTACTTTGGAACTGAGAATATAACAAAGTACTGTTTACTTGTAGTAACTTGCATTTCTGGTAAGTGAAGGTCCAACACAATTACCACCAGTGCATTTATTTGCCTTTCTGTTCTTTGGATACCAAAAGTTGAGATCTTGCTAGTGGTCTTATTTTTTAATACTAAATCTTTCTTTTGGAATGTATTTTACCTTCTTTTAGGTAGACGTGTTTTGAGGGAGTTGTATTGTGTCTGTTCTTAATGTTAATACAAATTGATAATTAACAGCAGGGAAACATAGTACTTGCTTTAAGGGGGAGAAGAGGAAAGTGCTTTCATGTAGCAGTAATACAGATGTTTTGGAGTTGCATAAAAAGGGATGAACATCATGTGTAGTTCAACTCAGCTCAATTGTGCATTTGATTTCAAAAGTGCTCCAGGTTTTAGCTGTTTTGAAGTAAAATAGGATAATGACCTAGCGAGTATGATTGCTTTCTTAGTACACCATCCTTTTTATTATCCAATGATTTCTGCGTTGTTAAAGCTACAATTTCAGCAAGTTCCAGCGAATTAAAGATGTTGTGCTTTAAAGAGCGATAAAAGTTTATTTGTAGCCAATTGGATGCAGAGAAACTGAGGGCATTAGAAACTTATGTTGCTGGTTTTATACCTGTTTTTAAAAAATGAGTTGATTTTCTGAGCGCTAATGCTCCTCATTAGCCAAGTTAATGATTTTAGCGGTGTCTGTCTGATCGTATTTCTTGAACTCTTTTCAATTCCAATTTCTCATTATTTTGTTGCTCATAATGTAAACAATATAGTCTTCAATGTGTCAGAACTTTCACATGATATGTTTTTAGTTACACTCGTCTAGAGATGTTTCTCTTATTTGTGTTCTTTGTGAGGTTAGGTATTTTTGCGAATTACTGAATAAAGTTGAACATTTATCTACTGAATAAAAACAAATTGTTTTGATTCTTTGAAAAGGTTTATGGTTAGGAAAGCACTGTTTCACAGCTGTACAGCCTTCAAACATGAAGTAAATAATATGTTCTTAAATGCGTGGTTTAAATCACAGATTTGTTTTTCTTTCAGTTAGGACTCATTTTGATATCTATACTTTGCAAAACTGATTTATTTTGCTTTAGTTTTCCTACTTCCAGTTGTTTCTTTTAAAAATATGTATATATCATTGTATTCTGGTGTGAAATGAGAACATCTTTCACCATACATGCATACTGAAGAAATGATTGTGATATAAATATTTTAACTGGACAAATATGAAGGCAAGATAACACTTGTAAGTAACGCTTACAGGAAACAGTTACAGAAATAGAAAGGGAACCGTGTATTGAATAATCTTATATGCTTTTGAACAGGAGTGTGAATTGAAAGAATGGTTACAAATATTTTTTTATTACTTAATTTTTCAAATGAGATGTCACTATTTTGGTCTGGTACAAATTTGATGAGTTCTCAGCAGTGAAAATCTGACAAATTTACTTGCGTTATTATACTTACGTTCTTATAATATTTGGAAAGTGAGCAGATCATGCATGTGGAAAATACATTTTGAAACAGTCTCCTTAGAATTAGAAATGGGTTTTTGTTTCCTATCTACAATGAGCTAATGTAGGTAACTCTGCAAAGGTAGGTAGCATAAAGATATCGATAGATGAACAAAGCCAGCCTTCCCTGAAGTGGGAGGATGTGTACCTTTCTAAAATGAATACTTATGTAAAAGAATGTGAACTCTTGCTTTACAACATTTATTTTGTGGTTAACTCTTTGTCATTCTCAGTATGCCTGGGTTACTAGATCTGTGTGTTCTTTCAGAATCATGGAATGTTTGAGTTGGAAGAGACCCCTAAAGGCCATCTAGTCCAACTCCGTTGCTCACTGCAGTGAGCAGGGTCACCTACAGCTAGATCAGGTTGCTCACAGCTCCATCCATCCTGACCTTAAATGTTTCTAAGGATAGGCATCCACCAGCTCTCTAGGCAACCTGTGCCACTGCTTCACTGCTGTTACCATAAAGAACTTCTTTCTTATATCCAATCTTCAGTTTTAAACCATTTCCCCTTTTCCTATCACAGCAGACCCTGCTAAAGAGTCTGCCCCCTTCCTTCTTACAGCTCTCCTTAAGATATTTAAAGGCAGCTCTCAAGTCTCCCTGGAGCCTTATCTTCTCCAGCCCCACCTCTCCCAGCCTGTCCTTGTAGGGAGGTGTTCCATCCCTTGGATCATTTTGGTATCCCTCTGGATGCACTCCCACAGGTCCATTTCTCTCCTGTACTGAGAACATGTAGAATGACTTACGTTATATAATTTATGTGCATGTTCAAAAGATGTTAGGAATGTATCTCCACTTCAGTTTTTCTAAGTTCAGTACTCTGGGTCACTTATCGTTTTCAAATGCAGGAAAAATTAGCCATCCCTGATGTCAGGAGGTGCATTGTTAAACCATTTTGACTTAATTATAGTATCTAGTGTAACAGTTCAAAGTGAAATAAATCAACAGAACAAGTTGGTTGTTAGAATTTTTTGTAGTTCTTACTGACAGAGGAATAGGGCAGCATTAGAACTGATTACTTGATACTGTGTTTTCTTCTGTGACAGTGAATGCTAAGATATCAATGCTTGCTTGTTAATTAAAAAGGAACCTTGGAAAAAAAAATGCACTGAGTTAGACAGGTGACATAGTGTACTGTATTATGCACAGATCTTTACCTTCTGTACTGCATTACTGTAGACCTGTTTTCAGTCTTTCTTACTTTTGGGTTCTAAGAAGGTTATTTTAATAACAATTTATTTACAACCTTCTTTGTACTTGTAAGTTTAAGTATTAATTCTCTGTAGTCTGTTAATTTAAATACTACACATCTTCCTGTTGGCTGATGCAAAGATATTTCTATTGTATGAGACTTAAAATATGGCTCCAGCTTATGGGAAGGCTGTAATATATTTAGTTTAGTATTAGGAATGTCTTCAGCCTTCATGGTCTTCCTCCTGATATTTAATTAGACTTAATCTTTTTGCATGTTAGTTCAACCTGGTGCAAAGCAGCATGGTTACAAAACATTACTCATCTTGTAAAAATAATCTTGCAAGTCACATTTCAAGTTGCTTCATTTCTTTATCTGTTTTCTTGTGGAAGTGCTGTGGACTCTTGTTCTTATGGCTTCTTTGGTTTTGGGTTGGAATAATTTTATTTGTAGTGGTCTAAGAAGAAGCTTGCATCTCTGATTTTGACTACTATTAGGACATTACTGTTCAGCATTTGAAAGTTGCTCAGTGAATCCAATTCAATTGCAAAAAACAGCTAGGGAAGTACTGGGGAAGGAATGGAACTGAAGTGTCATTTTTTTCTTATTTTTGAAAGCTTAGAAAGGTCTTGCAATTACTGTTAATAAACAATAATATAATTGGTGCAGCCATTTAAGAATCCTTAGGTAATAGCTCAGATTAAAAACCTGTTCCTAAGCTCCAGCAGGTTTTGCCACTAATTATGTACAAACTCTGAATTCTGGAAGCTTGTAGCTTTACCAGATCAGGTTTCATCTTTCCCAGAATGAGGCAAAGTGTACAACCCTCATCCAGCATGATATCAAGGTGCTGGCTCAAGGCAGAGAAATGCTTATAGTTTTTCAAAGTAAGAGTTTATAAAGGCTTCTTTTTTCCATAGGTTCTGCCATAATAATAGAAAAATGTTCCAGCCATTCTTTAACTTTTTTTTTTTTTTTTTTTTTTTTTTTTTTTTTTTTTT